CGTGGATTTTTAGGATCATTATGATTGATTAACCATGAAATAAAAAGATAAAGAAGAATAACAAATACAGCACGAAGTGTACTAATAAAAAAAAATAATTTTTCTTTTGTTGGAAAACGTTTACTTGCACGAAGACAAATAAAACGAATTAAATAAAGTAGAAAAAGTGATGTTAAACCAAGTGCAGCATTTAAATTACAATGTGGAATTTGTTTCCAAAAATTACCAAAAACTAAATAAGTTGATGCACGTGTATTCAAATATTTATTATTACCCATTAGTGTTGGTATTTGTCCCATAGCAATATTTAATGCTGATCCAGTCATAAATGCTGCTAAAGCTGGTAGAGGAATGAAATCGACTATAAAACCAAGACGAAACATGCCGAGAGCAAAAACTATACAACCAGCAATGAGAGATAAACTTGATGCAATGGTGTGGAATTCATATTGAGGATATTCTTTATGTACAGCTTCTACTACATTACCAGTTAATGTTGACATAACTGCCACTGGTCCAATACTAATATCCTACAATCAAACGAGATCATTGTCAAAAAAAAGAAAAATAAATAAATAAAATCGATCGTTCATTGATACTAAATTAAAGGACAATGAGACTATATAATTTCATACATTGAAAAATATATGATCTGTGGGAACCTAATGTTGTAATTACGATATTACTTTTTTATAATTATCATTGATATGATCCTGTCTAGTTTAAAATATCTTTTTCTGCTATTAATGAAACACTTGAGAATGAGTCTTGCATACCCAATACATGATATTAATTATGAGATTAACAATAAGAGAAATGAGTGTTAGTAAAAAGTGATACTCTCACTTTTATATTGAGATTAGTGAAGTAGAAAAGCGTACCAACATAATAAAAAATGACTTGAAAAGGTAGAACTGAACTGTCGATAAACTTCTAGAGATTACTTCTACGGATAGTTTATCTGTACTGCCTCTATGTGTTTGATATGATTTAGAAAAAAATTAAAAAGATCAACTATTTGAAGTAGTAAAATTATAAAAAGAAAAGATTCTGTTTTGTCGACTTGTTTTTTCTTTTGACAAGAGAAAATAATATCAGCTTGACTTTTAAAAATAGTAGATCGATTGATTTGATAAAAAAAATGAGATTTTTCTGAGATATAACTTCAACAAAATTACACCTGTTTTCTATTGTCACGCTTCTCCTAATTGATTAATTAACTCTTTTTTTTTAATTAAATTTATATCAGATGATAGAGAAATGTTGGTTCTTTCTTTGAAAAGAAAAATATACTGTTCTATAATGTATACAACTCGATCTACAAAGCAAATACTAGAAGTTTTTTTCAGGAGCATTAGCACACGTGACTCTATGTCGTTCACCTTGCTAGTAGCAAAAAGCCAATAAATCATGACTCCAACAAATGAACTATACAATCCAAATTGTGGTGCTAATTTGGCCAATCCAGCATATGCCATACTTTGTGGTATCACAATAGCACCGACAGTCAAGCCTGCAATAAGATCACCCCAAAACCATGTTAAATTGTATCGATAAATCCAATTGATAAATGGCAAATAAGAAAGAAAGTAATTTTTGATATGTTGTGTAGGATTATTCATCTCATTTTTCAGCCAACTTTTGATAGTTGGATATGGTTCAAAATATTCATGCTGAGTAACAGTTCTGATTCGACTAAATGCCGGTGATGAAGATGCCGTTGTCGATAATTCAGGAAGTTCCAATTGATCTTGTGTATGTTCCACCATAATTCACGAGACACAGTCAATGCAAATAAACGAAGGGAAAATCGACAAAACCTTACCTTATTCGATAGAAACTGAAAGCAAAGTTTCACAAATCTCTCATATATGAGAACAAATTGTTTATTCGATTAGGTATGATAGTCTGAATAAAAAATGTGAAAGTATGAATCATTGTTTATTTTTCACTTCAGGTAAAGCAGTGTACAGACAAGGGTGTACATTACATCGCATCAATAGAAAGCACATTACACTGTCATTACTTTTATCCTTGCTTTTTTTATTTCTATTCAAACTCAAGTATACATTTTTTTTTATTCAGTCATGCGAGACATAATTCTCTATATATAACTATTCAAGTGTTGCTCACATAATTTTTGAGGAGATTGGAAAATAATAGTGCTTGAATATTTAAGGAAAATAGTGAATGATTTAAGATTGACTCTATCTAACGAAGTATTATATTTTGATGATATGTTACAAGAGCTGATCGATTCTTATGAATAATGCAGATTACTACACTAGAAGACAAACAAAAATATGCATGCACTAGGTATCTCTAATGAACATTCGGATGTGCCTTTTGGTCAGGCAATTACTGATCATCATGTTGTCATTGCTTTTCGGAAATATCCATGTTAGAAAGAACAATTGATTTAATATTTTTCAAACAAAACAGAAAAAGTTCTCTTGTTTATCCAATCATATCTTCCAAATCTGAGATGAACTTCAATCACGATCTATTATCCATTTCAAAATAGAATGTGCTCCACTGTTTTTTGAATAACTCGAGAATGGAAGCAGCTAGAAACCTGCGGTTTTCACCAATCGAAAGAGGAGACAGAGGCACGTCTTTTTCTTCAATATTGTATAAGACGAAGTCCTTTAAAACTAATTATCTCTGGGAAACATGGAAAAGAATGCATGAAAATGACCTGCCATCTAGATGAAATTTTGATTTTGATCTTCGATTTAGATAGAGGGACTTGAGATCTATAGTTTAAGATACAATGCACTTTCCTACTTTTCGTTACGTTTTCATCGAAATGTCCAGCTATTATGATAAAAAGTGCAAAAACTTAATAAAAAATCAGTAAAAATTCCCTATTATTTGCGCATGTCAATACATGATTCCATTTGCTCAACTTTAGAATGCAATAAGAGAACCGTTTGCATTGTGTCTTGAACTATAGATCTCAAGTCCCTCTATCTAAATCGAAGATCAAAATCAAAATTTCATCCAGATGGCAGGTCACTTTCATGCATTCTTTTCCATGTTTCCCAGAGATAATTAGTTTTAAAAGGACTTCGTCTTATACAATATTGAAGAAAAAGACGTGCCTCTGTCTCCTCTTTCGATTGGTGAAAACCGCAGGTTTCTAGCTGCTTCCATTCTCGAGTTATTCGAAAAACAGTGGAGCACATTCTATTTTGAAATGGATAATAGATTTCTGATATAGCTGAACAAATACTTGATCCGAGCTAGAAAACTCAACATATCCTATGTTAGTTTTCATCTCTAATAGAGCTCCAAAATGTTTTCTGTTGAGCGTTAGCTTATAAATGAATCTTGATTACTTGCCTATTCTTTTTATAAATCTGACTTGAAAGTTGTGCAATCGAAAAAGCTCGCGTGAGATTGTCCAACAACATAACAAAAATGATAAATTTTGAATAAAATCCGTTGGAGAATAAAAAGTTGTAATATTGACTGCAAATAGTGTTTCACATCAATATGAGAAGCTATCGTTACTCTACGTGTTAATTAGTCATCGGCTAACTACCAGTATAAGAAGAACTAACTGTTCCTTTTTTTCTTCTCAACAAACTACATTCGATCGAACTGAAATACTTTTATGTGTACTAGATAAATTAATCGAAAATAGATTCGATCTATCTCTGGAATAGAAAAAATTCAATGTGCTACTTTCAACTTGTGTTTTTTAGCGATCGATTAAGTCAACATTCAATAATAAATCATTGTTTTATAGAAGCGACGGTTAAAGAAATGTAGACTTAATTTCATTGACACACTTCGTGTTATTTAAATATAAACACTTATCAGATCTCTACGTAAATCAGACTTCAAAAAAAAAGAGAAGAAAGTGACCAAAGGATTAAATTATAGTGGAGATTATCAACATAAAAACCAAAACAAAGAGAATTAAAATTGAAAATATGACACAAAGATTTATTTATTTTTAATTGATCAAATCAGTGAAATATATAGGATGCCCGTAATTCGAAATTCAAGTTAACTTTTTTTTTTCGACTTTTTTATACATAGTATGATAGATCATAAGTTGTTGATCATGAAAAACTAGCTTTTAACATTTGTGAATTCCTTTTTCTGGTTGAAAAATTCAAAAACAAATAAATCGGTGGTTTTTTTCTCGCAAACATTACATCTTTTTCGAATTAAACAAGTGTTTATGCCTTACTCTAGTTGAAAGTTTATGAAATTTTCTTTTTGATTCAGCATGAAAAAGTGAGTCTAAAAAGAGTATTAAATCATTTCTAATCGAAAAAGTGTATTCGAGCTGGGATATCTTCTCCTCTTGTTTTGAGCCATTGATGAGTCATTTTTGTAAATCTATCTAGGTTATTTGTGTAAGTGATGAAGTCAAATGTTTCAGTTCTATTAATTCATAGTATTATGAGTGACAAAGTCTATACCGATTGTTTTTTTCTTTTCTTTCCGTTGTCGAGAAAAATCATGCTTATTGAATATTGCACCAAATACCTAGAATTCTTTCTGTAATTCTCAATTTTTGTTCTTCAAAACCAAGCTTTTATGTAATAAAGTTGTTATATTCGTAATCAGCGTCAAAAACTGAGTCGATTCATGTATGTCTTTATAGGTTCCAATGGGTTAAGTCATTTTCGAGTTTTCAGTTGAGATGATAGCGGGTATTATGACCAAAAAATGAAAGGTCACAAAAGCTGTGGAAACCTATATGAATTAGGTGTGGGTGTAGGTCAGAGCTGCCAACTTCCTTATTTAGCTAGGAGAATCCTACTTTTTAGACTTTTCTCTTGGTACCAGGAGCTGGTTTTTAAAGTTTGTTCCTGATTTTTTCTGAGTTTTTTAAATTTTTTCTCACGTTGAATTTTGACGACATTATGGATCAAAAACACAAGACAAAAGAAGAAAAAAAAAAGAAAATAAGAGCTATTACACTATTTGCTGAGTGCAACAATAAATAAGAAAACATGCTATTTTTGCTGATATCTTTAAAACTAAGATTATCGCTCTTATGAACAAACTTTACGCCAAAATTTACATATTGTAGATAAAAAGCAACAACTTTTTAGTAGTTATCAAATGTTTTTCAGCCGAGAAGATGAGATTGATGAAGCACCAAATTCTTCACAGAAGAATATTGTGCCACAATATTCACAAAAATCTGAAAATCATTTTACTTCTATTCCACTAAAAAATAATTCGAAAGCTACATGTGCTTCATCATCATCATCATTATGCATCGCAGTATCTAAACGTTACTCGTCTAAATTCAGAAAAGAATGGTTATCTAATCCAAAGTATTCTTCATTTTTAAAAGAGTATAAAAATTATAAAACAACAGCTTTATGTTTTATCTATAATATACAATTCTCGATTCAAAATAGTGAAACAACTGATATAAATAATCATATGAAAACAAAAGAGTATCAAGATTGTGTAAAATCAGCTGAACCTAATAAATGTAAGGTTTTCTCTACCAGTATTAATAATTGAATATTCTTATTGATGTTATTTCTTTTTGTAGCAAAAACGATAAATTCATTATTCGATTCAAGCACATCTGAACTTAACCGTTTATGTACTGTTGAAGGAGCTTTAGTATTTCACGGTGTCAAGCATTCTCATAGTTATTTATCACAATTGTATATGATTAATTTGACAAAAAAATGTTCTTCAGGTTGTTCAATAGCAAAAAAAAATATAACATACAGCAAAACTAAAGTAGAAGTAATATCACTTAGTTTATATTCCTTACAGAATATTACTTACCTGCTATTTAGACTAGTGAAATTGCTTGTAATGTACTTGCGCCAGCATTTACAAATGCTATTATTTAAGATTTTCGAGATATTTCATATTTTTCCATTTGTTGCGACGCATCAAATAAAAGGAATGCGAAAATGCTGCTTATTGTTGGTCAATATTTTTCTAATTTTGGAATAAAGCATAGGATCATTGAATTCATTGAACAACAACATGATTTGCCTGATGGATTATTTCTTAATATTAAATATATTTTAGAATAAAATGCACTAGATTTAAACAAACTTAGTTTACTTGCATCAGATAATATGAATGTTATTGTTGGAAATAATCATAGTGTTTTATCGTTATTTAATCAATTAGTATATAATTTAATTAAAGGTAAATATACTATGGTCTCAAAATTCTGGATATTACTAATTTATGCAAACAGCACAAACACCCAACTTTGGAAAATCGCATATAAGTCATCTTGACAAACACCCACATCTTGGAGAGTTATGCACGCAAACACCGACAAACATCCACTTTCACGAGTCCTACAAAAAATAAACCGTCAACAAAGACCAAAAAATGACCCCTCTCAAGACAAACACCCAGGATCTCTCTTATGGTCCACACAAACACCCCAACTTGTCTTGACAAACATCCACAGAACTCCATAAACTACATTCTGACACGGATAAATGCCATCCCCGAAATACTTTTTGTAACAAACTTCCCTCTGGAAACATATAAGACCGACCCAAATATGTCTATAGACATCTATGTCTTGAAAAAATGTGTTAACAGATGTACAAGAAGCAAATATATTATTATAAATTTACTTCATCAATTAAATAATTGTTTACGTAATGAGTTTTTTGGTTCTAAAGCCATGGAGTCATTGGAAAAAATTCCACATTCAAATGAAATTGATGATTTGAAAAGATCATTCAGATCATTCATACATGCGATTATCAAATATATTGAAGATTATTATAAAGATCGTGCTAACTCCTACAAATTAATATCGGTTTTAAATGAAACAAATATTGATAAAATTAAATGGAAAGATTTTCAACATTGTGTTACATTTATTGATGGTAAAGATGTTGATAAAGATTGTTTATATAATGATTTCAATCATATAAAATCAAAATTTGTTGAACTTAAGAACAAATTTGATGGTATTTATAAACAAGTACAAGGATTTATTCCGTCAAATTTGATTTTATCGAAACAAGATGGAACAATGTTAAGTAATGAAAACAATGTGAAATTCAGGTTGATTCTGATTCTGATAAATGAAGAATAGGATATCAGATACTACAAAGAACACAAGAAGCATCCAAATATACGATGCGATCATTTATGAGCTTATCTCATTCATGGTGAAAATGTACCTAATTTACAAAAATTAGTACAGTTTGTTTTTTCTATAGCAGATTCGAATGCTTTTTGTGACTCAATCTTCAGTCACATGAAGTTTTTGTGGAATAATTATCGAAATAATATGAAACAAGATCTTGTTGGTGCAGAATTACAAGTTAAGATGAATAGTCAATACAATTGTATCGAGTTTTATAATTATCTTTTAAATCATCACGATCTATTGAAACAAATTCGATCGTCAGATAAATATACTCATATTACAAAAATGCCACAGATGGCATAACTGATAATTTAATATTCGTATATGATACTTTTGTTTTGATTCATATCGATATCTAAGTAAACTTTATTTTCTTTACTATTTGTATATTTTATGAAAAATTTTGAAATAAATGGCAATATAGAACATATTTGACGGTCTCTATTTTTTATTACATAACACTTACAGAAAAATTTGGCCATCATCAACTTGACAACAAAAAATATTAACCAACCACTTATGTGTATGAAAATCTCAGTTTTCTTCGAAATAAGACAGCTGAATAGTTTCCTAATTTCGATGAAAACCTTCTGATTTTTCTCCTGGTTCTTCGGTAGAAATCTTCAGGTCAACTCGCGATTTTTTTGCGAGAAACTTCTGCTTTTTGAAATTCGGATTGGCAACTCTGACCTTCACAAGTATTGAAGCTAACCAAGAATTTAATTTCATCGACATTTAATTAGCATTTCTACATTGAATTTGTAGATTGGTATTTATGAATGAAGTTTGAAATCTAAACTACGAAAGGATATTTGATTGGGATTTTCATCGGGATAGACATGATGCCATTAGCATGACTATACGACCAGATAAACTAGTACGCTATAGATACATGTATATGTATGTGTGTGTGTGTGTGTGGAGGGTGTGATGTTAGAGTATGAGCATGAATGTTGATAAAGAGACAATCAGACACCCACACACACTCAAATAGTTCGAAAGCCCACTCTCCATGGCTATGACTTCATCATCAACAAAATAAAGAGTTTGACTATAATACAATTTTCTTTACTATAGAAGAAACGTTGCACTGTACTTTAAGGTCATCCTTCTCAAGTAGTCAACATCGCAGAGATTACAATGTTGTTTCTTCTCTTTTCTTCTCGACTGTCACTTTGACGAAAGATAAGCAGAAAAATCGGCGTGTGTACCATTACATACCATATATCATTCTGCGCAAATAACAATGACAGACCAAATCTCACATTTGCTGGTGTCCTCTACAACTTTCGAACCGGAATCTGAAGAAACTAAGATCTATGGCGAACAGCCAGTTACTGAATCGGTGACAGAAGAAGTCTTAAATTCACCGAAGTCGTCGGCAGCTTCCAAGTCCCAACATGAAAAAACCATGATTGATAGAGAAAAGGTGGCTATTCAACCGATGACAACTCAATCATCTCTGACCAGTCGTACATTTGCTCCATTGAATACACCTTTGTATCGTCGTCGACAAACACTTACAATTCTTGTTTTCTGGATTCTGCCATGGTTTTGTCTATACGTATCATTGCTCTTGCTTCGATCAAACAATTGGTATTTGTTTTTCGGTTTCATTGCCTATTTAACATGGATGGTTTTCTTTCGAAAATATCCACGACAAGGTGGTCTCAAGCAACAATGGCTTCGTCGACTAGTATGGTGGAAATGGTTTGCTGGTAAGTTGATTTGTTATCATTCAGATAACTGAAAAATACGATCATTTTTTAGTGTCGTATATATGATAAAAATTCTAGTATCTTAGAATTGAATCATATCTTCTTTTTCAATTAAAATCAGTCACTCAAAAATGTGATAGTTCGAATGATAACTGAACAATTCATTTATATATTCCTAATTAACAATGAATTATGTTTTTTTTGTTCTTAAACATTTTTAGATTATTTTCCAATTCAATTGCATAGAACATGTGATTTACCGGCTGATCGTTCGTATATATTTGGCTATCATCCTCATGGCATCATTTCACTTGGTGCTTTTTGCAATTTTGCTACAGAAGCTACTGGATTTGAAGAGAAATTTCCTGGCATTAATCTTCGTTTGCTTACATTAAAATCCAATTTTCGCATTCCATTCTTTGGTTTCTATTTGTCTCTATTGGGTCTGTGTGATGCATCGAAAGAATCATGCAATTATATTTTAGAAAAAGGCAATGGCAATAGTTTGATGTTAGTTTTGGGTGGTGTCAAAGAAGTATTAGACGCTCGACCTTCATGCGACTACATCTTGACACTTAAAAATCGTAAAGGTTTCGTTAAAATTGGTCTCGTCCATGGTGCCAGTCTTGTACCTGTATTTTCATTTGGTGAAAATGATCTTTATGAACAACTAGCCAATCCACGTGGATCAAAACTACGACAATTCCAAGTAATGTTACAAAAGAAAACAGGTTATACAATACCATTCTTCAGAGGACGTGGTGTATTTCAATATGCTTTCGGTTTTTTGCCCAACCGACGAGCAATCAATACCTATGTTGGTGAACCAATTGAATTGCCAAAATTGTCACGAGAAGAAATAACAAATGAAATTATCGACAAATATCATACACAATATATGGATGCATTGATGCGTCTATTCGATGCACACAAGGCAAAACACGACAATAAGGATGCAACAATCAAATATGTCAATGCTGATGATTACTAGATGGAGAGAGAGAGAGATGCTTGTAGTTTGAGAACATCAATAAAGGACGCTCGACAACACTAATAATGAATAAACTCGCATCTTTTTAGTGGGTGTGGGTGTGTGGGTGTGGGATGGGTGTGGGTGTGGGTGTGGGTGTCGGGTGGGTGTGTGGTGGGTGTGGGGTGGGTGTGTGGTGGGTGTGGATGTGGGTGGGTGTGGGTGTGAGTAAACAATAAGCAACCACTCCTACACCCACACCACCACTCGCCCCACACCCATCCACACCCATACTCACATCCACCCACCCACACACCCACCCACACACTAGGGGTGTCAGGGTTCCCGTTCCTCAAGGGTTCCGTTCCCAAGGAACGGGAACCCACTTGGTTATTCATTTCTATGCATGTTTGAACGCGCTTGAGTTCATAGACATACTTTTTCTTTCGTTTTGAGCAAGTCACTCAGGGTTCCCGGGTTCCTAGGAACGGGAACCCACTTAGTTATTCATTTCTGTGCA